TTTTAGACGGATGGCTGGAGCCAAGCTGGCCACAAGGAGCTGACCACAAGGAGTATCTTTGGCCCCACAGGATGATTGAGCAACACATTCTAACACTGAAATATTTAGGATGAAAAGCACGTAATGCTTGGTACTTTCAAATGGTTTAGAAAACATACATAAATACATCTACACATATGTATGCATGTGGACTGAGAGAGAGAGAGAAAAAAAGGACAGGAAAGACAAATGGGGCAAAATGCTAACCGATGAATCTGGGCAAAGGGAATATATGAGAGTACTTTGTAATATACTTGAAATTATCCTGTAAACTTGAAATCATATCCAAATAAATAAATGAATAAAGGGGTTGGACTTAATTATGTACAAGGTCTCTATCCTACAATTTTCCAATTTGAAGAAGGGTGATTGCCAAATTTTTAAGCAGAAGTGCCGAGCACGTGGGGGGTGAGGAAGGAGCCCTCTGAGGGCACCCCACTGAACTAGACACTGAGCAAACATGTGGTGACTTCACTGTCTCCTGCATAAGGCATGTAACCGGGAAGTCTGGTTCTGAGACACACGCCTGCAGCGGTGGCTCAAGGAGTGGCCCAACCTCAACAGCCATTCTGGCATTGCACAAGCCCCTCCTCTCCTCTGGTGGCTGCACAAAGGGCCCCCTGCCATCGCAGGAGGGCATGGAAGCTGACCACGGGGCCTGAGGCCCTTACCTGCCCTTGGCTCACTGTGCAGAGCAGAGGCCCCAGGCCTCTGAGGAGGGAAAGTCCATTTTGCCCTCACTCTGCTGAATGTCAGCCAAGAGCGCAGCCAGATGCTTTCAGCTTTGCCCTGTTGTGTCTTTTCTTAGAATTCTCCTCTGTCTTGTAGTTACTCCAAGTATTTATATGGTCTTGTCACCCCCCAGAATTCCCTTTCACAAGAGGCTTCCCAGGAAACCGCTTTTCCACACCAATGAGAGCCAATCATTAAAACAGAAGCCTGAAAACTGAAGACCAGCAAACCAGAGGTGAGGAAAATAAAGTTACAGCACGCATACGTACCCTTGCAGGTAAGGAAGTTATTTATTTGAGTCTTATTCACAGTTGGAAATGTTTTGTTTTTTTGTCTTTTTGCAATATCCAGAAAAACAGGTCAATGTTAATACACTTCAAATACACAAATAAGGGGCTGGATACCAAGTGTTCTCCTGCTGCCATTATGAACTCCTGCAGGTCAGCAGCTGTGCCTTACTCAGCTGTGTGCTCTTCACAACATCCAGCTGGGACAAGGGCAAGAAGTGAAGCAGTGAGCCAGCACCGCCACCTGCAACCCTGGCTGAGCCAGAACGCTCCCTCCCTTCAGCTGCACCAGCCTGGACTAAACCATTCACTCCTGCTGTTACTCAGGGAGGAAAACTGTCCGGCGTCAGAGCAGTCATCTCCCTGGACTCGGGAAGGTCCTTCTAGCCTAATGAATCTCTGCAGTAGATACATCCATCCAATAATTCAAAAACATAGGAGTCATTATTTGGAAACGATAGTTGGGAAGACAATGTGAAAAGCATAAGCCTGGGCTTTAAATGCTTTAAAATGCAAACTAATGAGGTAATCAGGCCATCAGATTAAAGCAATCTGGGCAATGCAGATCGGAATTTCCACTTAATGTTGAGAGAAACAATGTTTAGAAAACCAGCATAATTACCTCCTGCTGACAACGACCCAGAATCAGCCAAATAAGGTCCCTGAAAAGAGCAGGAGGAGAGGGAAGGGGACACAGTTGACGCAGTTGCAGTTGCATGAATAGAAAGGAAACTCGTCAGGGGAAAGCAAATATGCTGGAGGCTGACGGAAGCACAGGGGAAGTAAAAGAAAGGGGAAGACAGGCGTAATGTAGAATCTCAGGTTCTCTCAAAGTTTCCTGACAAAATTCGGATGGGCCAGCTTTCTGCCCACTCAACCCCCTATCTCACCACAAAATGGGCAACAAGTTGGGAAGGACAGAGCAACTGGGTTGCAAACTGCCTCCCCCAGCACCTCTCAAAGGTCTGAATCTTGAAATAGGTCTATTATCTGCACGTTGTTTCATCCATAGCAAATTCCCCCCAAATCTGGACAAAAAACATCCTGAGAAGATGAATCTACAGAGTTACACATTTTAGACGGATGGCTGGAGCCAAGCTGGCCACAAGGAGCTGACCACAAGGAGTATCTTTGGCCCCACAGGATGATTGAGCAACACATTCTAACTGATGGGAAGACCATTTAAGCTACAGCAATACACGGGACTGATTCAATCAAAAACCATTGAAAACCAATCTCCCAAACTTCCAATAGCTTTCTGAGATTTTTCTCGACCTTCCAAACGATGAAGACCAGTGATCATCAGTACAGAAACATTTTTACCAGCAAAAATTCTTACACTCAAGTCTGCTACTACTGGTTTATTTGCCATTCAACTCCCTAAAGACAGCATACAGTGGTAGTGGCTGCCCTCTGCAGTGAGTTGGTAAGTTCAGTGAAGTATCAAGATCAAGAAAATACCAAATGCATGTAATTAATTCTCCTTGAAAGCCAGAAATGCTGGCAAGAGAATGAGTTCTTAGATGGAGGACTTCTGAAGTTGAGAATGTGGGTAAAGTGGCACACCACCTCTGCAGCGGCTCAGCCCCACCACTGTGTCCTGGGCAAGAGTCAGCTTGCTTGTTTTTTGAACACATCATGCGAAAGTCTGAGGTTAATGTCCTTCATTGCTAAATCGAAAGCCAACCACCACGGCAATACCTAGAAGCTTCTCAGAGTTTCCTGGACTGAGAGTTTCCATGGTGGGTGCTTTTAAAATATTCCCACAAATTCTCTGAAACTACTCCCATAAAGAAATGGAGCATTAAATTAATTTTCCTTCCCTTAAATGTGAACTGGCCTTGATCACCTGGATCCAGTGAAGAAAATGAGGTTGGAGGTGACATGACGTGTAGTCGGAAGGAAAAATATAAAAGGAGATACAGCATCTGCTTAACTGTCTCTTGAGCTGCTCACCCTTGAAATCCAGCTGCCATGCTGGGAGCTCAGGCAAAGCAGGGGCCGTGCGTAGGTGTGCCGGCTGACAGGCCCCGCTGGGCTCCCAGGGACAATCAGCAGCAAGCAGCTGAGGTTTGGGTGTTACCTCCACCATGTGAGGGAGGAAGCCTTCAAGGAAATTCCAACTCTCCACCAGCTGCCTGTCCCCACACGAGAGACCTAAGTGAAAACCACTAAGCTAAGGCCAGTCAAGCCTCAGAACCATAAACAATAATAATAACCAATAAGTGTTGCTGCCTTAAGAAAAAGGGCTGCAATAAGGCCTGGTGGTAAAATCTGGCCCGAACCTCTTTTTCTACAGTCTGTGAGCTGAGCTGGGTTTTGCACATTTTAAAAAGATCATAAAAGAAAGAAAAAGAACAGTACATGACAGAGACTGTAAGTAATCCTTGAAGCCTATAATAGCCATTCTATGGCCCTTCACAAAAAGAGCTCTCTCACCACTGTCTTAAGCCACTAAGTTTTCAGATGGCTTATGACGTAGCAACAGATAACTGCAGTGCCTTTGGAACATAAGAAGTGGCACTGATGGGCAAATGCTGGATTTAGCACATCAGGAAAGTCACTCTGAAAAGTCACAGCACAACTATTATCTGGAAGCCAATACTTACCCTATCAATAATTGCTATCATATAATATCATAATTTCACAAACACACTTTCTCAGCCAAAGCAGAAGAGGTGGTAAGATATTCCTTAGCCAAGGGGAGTATCTTAAGTACATATCTCAGATTTGATTCCAGATTTATTTTCAAATTCTTGGAGTCTTATTAATAACTTTAGAAATTATAGCTGGCATTTACTGAGTCCTTACTATGTCCCAGATGCTATTTGGAGCTGTTTTATATATTTACTTCAGTTAAGCCTCATGACAAACCTTATTTCCATCTTACAAATGAGAAAACTGAGGCCAAATAAGTGATCACGCAGGTAGTGAATATGGAGGAAGGGTTCAAATCCAGACCTGACTTGCATCCATGCAGTCAGCTGCTCCTCTCCCGACAATGTCTACGCAAGACATCCAGTCTCGGTTTAAGGAACGCAGCCAGCCTCCACAGGGCCAGCACCATGTGATCTCTCTGACCAGACCGCCCTGGACGCTAGTCAAGGGTGCTGTCCATCCACTAGGAATCAGGCCTGGAATCTGGTTCCTTCTCTTTCATCTGGAACCTAGGATCTTCAAGCTCTCATTTTCTATTGGGAGGGTCTGAAATTCCCTAGACTAGCAACTATGGTTGATTAGAAGCCGTTTCTTCCAAAACCCCAAGCACTTCCTCACATTTCTCCTCTGGTTTCTGTCAATCAACACATGGGCAATTATGCTTGCCAAAGGGGAGACACAATGTAGGTTTGTCAAAGCCAGCCTTTGGCTAGACAAAATCAACAGACTAATCAAGAGCCAATCAATATTAAAAGGCTGTCCAAACCATTGATAAGACCAGTGATCATTGAGAATGCCTGCATATCAATGTCCTCATATGTGAAGTGATAATACCTAACTTTATGATTTGTTATGTACACTAAAGCCAGGATATATAAGGGGCCTAATCCAGTGTCTGGCATTCAATTAATGGTGGTTATAATCACTGTAATTTGAATGAAGATCACACCTCCCTTTTAAAGAGCTCTCGACTGGCCAATGACATTTCATTGAATAACTGGAAAAGCTGTTACAAGGGAAGATCCATATTCATGAAACAAGACATAGAGAGAAGAGTTGCTGCGTACCCATTGGGTTACCCATTTTCCATTTCCCTTTGTAAGAAGCCTTTTACATAGTGGAAGGTGTTGTTTAATGGCCCCTTCATGTCTTTTCTCCAACCAAACATGGCACAAATAATTGGAGATCAATATAAGAAGGAAAGGGCAACACTCTGACTTGGCCCACATGCCAAGTCCACCTCAGCAGTGGCCAAAGGCATGGCAGGGCACCTTGTCTACTCACCAGAAGGGAAACACAATGAGGCGGCTGATGAAAAATACGGCAGAGAAGATGAAAAACAGGATGTTACAGGTTTGCCTCCACTGGGCGTAAGAAAACATCTTGGCCGACTGAAAACAAACAAAGAGATGGCATTCAGATAAAGCCACGTCAGCATAAAAATCTTTATTTAAACATTTATCAGTGAAATGACATGATGACTGGGATTTGCTTCAGAAGAATCTGGGGAGGAGGGTGGAGTGCGGATGGGGAAATAGAACAAGACTGGCCATATTGGTAACTATAAAGCTGGATGATGGAGCCACTTGGGTCCATTATACTTTTCTCCTTATCTTGTCATATGTTCGAAATTTTCCATAATATAAATATTAAAAAAAGATATGTTAAAATGGACTGTAATATTACTCCTGTTTTCACAAGCACTACACAGTTAGCATAATTAATTTCGGCAGGCATTTTATCTGGGGGTTTGTTTGATTTCTCCATTTAACTGGGAGGAGAGCTGGGGTGAAGAAAGGCTGGGATGTGATTCAAGTCCTGGGTTGGGCTGGGCAGGTGGCAGTCTAGGTGGCTACGTCCAGGCAGATGACAGAAGAGGCAGAGGAAAGAGGCGACTCTTGGGATGTGTTCTGGTTGAAACAAAGTTTCAAGCACTTGATTTTGCCTGCCTACTTTATGCTCGTCTGTACTGTGCTGAATAAAAAGAATTACAGAAAGGACTCTTTAAGGTGGTAGCAGAAGGTTAATGGATGATGAGTAGAAGTAGTAGGATCCTCTCTTGCTTTGTCCAGTGGAGCCCACGGCTGAACGGGAAAGTGTTTGGGGCTGGGAGAGGGGCAGGTAGCTGCTGAGGGCGGGTCATTCTCTAGGAATGTGGCTTAGTCCTGGGTGGTTTCAGAACTGAAGTCACCCTGGAAACTCAATGCCCCTCTCGAACAAGACAGGCAGAGAATTTTTACTTTGGAAAGGGTTTATATTACACTTTCCATATGTTTTCACACTTACCATGGGGTAGGGATATGACTGGACTATAGGGTTGACAGAGGACCCAAAGGGAACAGCCTCAGTGCTGATACAGCAGGCTAGTATGCCAGGCGGCAGGGAGATGGGTGTGGGGAGGAAGGCAGAAGCTTAGCATGCCTTCTGGAGTGGGGAGTCTACTTCTACCATAGAATGGGGAGTTGCCTGAAGGGTCAGAGGCCAGGCCTGGGTGGGTAGCTAGAGGCATGCATAGGCATGAGAGAGCCCACTCGAGAGCATCAAGTAGCACTCCTTTGGGCAGATACACAGCATATTCTGGACTGTGCAAAGATGGGTATCCCATGGCAACACCCTCCTTTGCTAAGCATTGGTCAGGATACTCTTAAAACATTGGGTCCTGGGTGCAAACCTGAACATGTGGAAAATTAGAGAGGGTCAGGAGATTCATGAAAAAGGCCAAGGTTACTAATGAATAAGAATTGTAGATGTTGAGTCTGTTTTTCCTTGCAAAGAGAGAACGAAGAAATGACCCACCAACGGTCTTGAGGAAACATGAAAGACTAATAGTCTCCATCTTCAAGAAAGTCTAAACAGGAGCAAAAGTTATACTGTGTCTGGGTTCAATTAGAACTTGACCGAGAGGCCAAACACTAAAACAAACCACTGGAGGAGGCCGTGGAAAAGGCACCCCTGGAGAATATCACAAACCAGCCCCATGCCACAACTGAGTATTGTCTCTGCCACCAGCTGATGGGAGGTACTGGCCTTACTCACTGAACCTCAAGTTAGATCATGACTTGAGAATCAAAAATGATTCATGAAGCAAAAATGAACAAGTGGGATACATCAAACTGAAAAGCTTCTGTACAGCAAAGGACACCACCAATAGAACAAAAAGGCATCCTACAGTATGGGAGAATATATTCATAAATGACAGATCCAATAAAGGGTTGACATCCAAAATATATAAAGAGCTCACACACCTCAACAAACAAAAAGCAAATAATCCAATTAAAAAATGG